TGAGCAATAAAATATCTTGAGAGGAGGGAAGGGGGATAGGTTCTTGCGCCATCGACCTTGGAGGGGATGGGCACCCCTGGCTGACTCTATTTACTGCTATTTAAGGAAATGTATTTCAATACACGTATCAGCATCCTCGATACATATGTAGTACATAGCCTTAGCTGGAAGGAGTAGTTGGAGATGTAGTAACCGAGAGCGGTGATGCATAACAATCTTTGCATATGGAGAGTTACAATGCTGGCTTAGACAATCAGCATTTCCCCCCCCCACTCCCGGCAATGACGTCATCCTCCCTAAAAAATTTAATTTATTTCTAATACCATATAATATTTGATTTTTATTTCATTCAATATTTCTCTCGAACATTTGCTTTACTGATAGGCTAAAATTAATTATTTTAAGACGTTTTGTATTTTTTTTTAATTTCTAACAAGTGGCGAGCGCCCCTTAAAATCGGCCGGCGCCCCTCCAGGTTGTGATTGCCGTGCACTAAGGTCGGCATTGAAGACTCAAAATATTATTTTAAAAAATCTATTAACATGTTTTGTTTAAATTCACTTCCTCACTGAAATATTCAATGGAGGAAGACGTGAAATAAATGTCAGACCAAATCGAAACAAAATACATTAAAGATCTATGCTATATCTATGCTATATAGAAAAAAACAATTTTTAAACATTATTATACTAAAATTAAAGTTGCTAAACGACAAATGAAAAAACCCGTGTCTTAATGCAGCTTGCCCCCGCCCTCTCGAAGTAGTGGTGGCGTTCAAATCGATTACCTTTGTTATATAGGTTCACCTGGCTGCATCAATCGGCATTCCCTTGTTTAGGGGTGAGTTAAGTGATCGTTACTTTTAGGTATTTTTGTTATAAACGCATGGTTTGCATTAAAATATCTTAATATTTAAAGGAAGAGTGCATGTTCTGTGTAATTGATGAGTTAATAAAACATTACGAAACAAATTTATTTGTAACAATTACAGAGTTATAATATAAAGATTATTGGTGTTTTGAAAACCATCAAGACCAATAATCTAAATATTGTATTTTGTTAATGTAGCTTAATTTCACAATTGTTTATTAGACTATTTTTATTTATCTTTGTTGGAACTCTGTCATTTGAAGTTCTCTATTCCAAAGATTAAGATTTAACGATTTACTATCAGCAGCTCTTAAAACTTTCATTTGATTATTTATGATTCATATTGTAATTAAGTTGTATTGCCGACTGTTCAAAGTTTAAGTTCATTGTTTGCATATTATGATCTGCTGTCATGTACTCAACTATTAACTTTTTTTAATATTATGATATGACTGATGCAGTAATGTATAATTACAAGAGTGTATTTACTTAATGTTTTATTATTAATTATTGTTGTAGTTCCTATTAGTTGTTATGTCATGAATTTATTCTTTACATGGTTAAATACTCCGGATCTAGTAGATTAGATTTCGTTGTTTGAATTATTCTTGTTAAATAATCTGTAGTACTGTTGATGATACTTATTGTATTTTCTATAATTGCAGTGTATCAACAACAATAATTTAACATTGAGACGAAATGTTTTATTTACTTATATTGCATTATTTAAATCAGATAAACTGTTTAGAAAATATTTATTCTGTTTAGAGTTCAGCATTGTTCCAAACATTCCGAGGACAGGCTTTCATTTTCAATTGTCCAAGACAATATTGTTGCTTAGTATACTTTTGTTGTAGCTATAGTTTTGAGGGTATATTCGTAAACTTTGATCATATTTATCGATGAAAAACTCAATAAGTGCATCAAAATAATACTAACACTGTTATACGCCATAAATAATCATACTAATTGTTAGTGTGCGTTGATTTGATTTCATTGTGAAGAAATTCATCAAATTACTTAGTGATTTAATTTTCTAAAATGACTTTTTGCCGTAAATTCACTAAATATTAACCCATAAAGTTTTAAATTGGCCTATAGAAAGAGGTCGTGATAGCCAAGCATGTTAAAGTATAATTCTAGCAATGTCGTTTAGAATTCTCTCCGAGCGGGTTGAAATTTATTTTGTGGCAGACCATGTTAAAGCATTGCCTACTTTTATCATTCTTGATTCTAGTGCACCAGTTTGAATCTGGCTTAAGCGGTTTGAAATTTAATACGAAATGAATCTTGACTTTCCCATTCTTGTTAGCGTAGATTTGTTTGTACCTCTAAAACAAATCCTCCCCTCGTCATATGCCAGAAATTGTGAGGTATGGGGGGAAAAAAAAGTTGTTTTAGAGCCATCACCAAAAAAGAAAAATGTTTTTTAATTTAAATTTAAGTAGCTTTGTATGTAAGACATTCGCTTAAACGAGACAGTATTATTTTTTTAGGTATCACTGCAATAATTTCTTAATATTGCAACTGGAAAAATGATTATGTAAAAAATAAATATATCTTAGGCTTGCAAAAATGTTAAACTGAAAAAAATTAAATAATTTTATAAAATGGATCGTTTATTTGTGGAATAAGGTTTTTAATCTTGTATTAAACTTTTTTAACAAAAATGGTCACAATTTCACAAGATAAGTCTTATCATCTATAACTTTTACTTGGTAATACCCTCGACAACTAAGCAGAAATTAAAATTTTTGAGATAGTCTTGTAGGGTGGGCCAAAATATGATTTGAATTTATTTTTGTAATGTTATACTGCAGAAAACTATCCTCTTGGGCAGAAAAGCAAAATGGATAATTTTTTTAATCCAAGATTAAATAATCTGTCTTGAAAGGTGGTACAGCCCCCTATTAACGATTTGATTGCTTTAAGCATGCATGCTAGAACAAAGGACAAGAATTTTCAAGGAAATTTTTAGGACAAGACCACTTTACTTTCCTAAAAAATATAGCTGGACAGTGAATTTAGAAAGGAAATGTCCACTTTTGTTTAAAAAATTACTGTAAACAAACTTTTTTCACTAATCTGTGATTTTCCTCAGAAAAACAAGCAAACTTTTCATTCTCTTATACTCATTTCTCATACTCAGAGAAAAAACAACTTCAACAGTTAAGGATTTGGTATTAGTTACAGCTTTGCTATATCTATCAGACTTCTTCCGAATCTCAGTTTCTGTGGAAAGTTGAGATGCCAGCTTTTAGTAGCAAGTTGTTTCTGGCTCTGTATTAAATTGCTAATTATTTATTTACATTATTATTTTTTAAATTATTATTCTAAAGTGGCTAAACTTCTACTAGATAGAAAACAATTTTATATATTGTATTTTTTTTAAAAAAGTACTTATTTTATTTGGGCGAACATAAATTTTAATTAGAATCTATTTATTGTTTGTTATAACCTGTACAATAACAATAATAAATTACCTTGTTATTTGACACACATGCTTTTGTTGATAACCAGTTTTATAAATTACATTTTATTACCATGTACTAACTTTTTATGAAAATGTTTAATAATTTAATGATTCAATAATTTGAATTAATAATGGCAAGAAGAGGATCAAACCAAAATAGTTCGCTACCATGGTAGGAGAATTAATACAGTTGGTAGTTGTGATAGCAACAATCATTTTTATTATTGTTTCATCAGTCATATTATTTTAGATATTAATCTCTAAGGAGATACACCAAATTTCATGTTGATATTATGACTCGTACTTAATATGGCTGTGATTATTTTGAATTATAATTGATAAGAACCGACTCATTTAGGTATGATTTGTCAATGAATCAATTATTTAGGTTTTGTAATTAGATCCTTGGTAAATTAAAACTATTTCTTAAAGAACATAAATTTATCACAACAGAGATTAAAAGTTATGACTTATTTTTCATCTATTTCATATTTTTAATATATATATATATATATATATATATATATCGTTGTTATGATTGTATCTATCCTTTGTGTATTTTTATTCTTTTGTTTTCCTGAGACCATTCAGTTGTGTTATAGTTTTGCTATCTATGAATAATATTGGCCTTTTTTTAAATATTTTATATGAATTCTGTGACAAAACTACCTAAGATGTGAATATTTTTAAATCAGTTTGCTTGTTAAATGAGGATTTGATCTGTATTAAACTTAAAGACCAAATGTCACCATGTTTACTGCCAACGTGTAGTTAAGTGCTCAGTCACTGTCTCACGGTCTTTAGGATTTTTAAGAAAGAATTATCACTGCTCTAATGAGACTTTATTACCATCATTTAGTATTTTTGCCTTTTAAAACTTATTGTTATCATACTCTAAGGCTTGATACTTTAAAAAGCAAATTATTACTCTATTCAAATATTAACCCTAAAAACAACTCTTTGAAAGAAAAATATGTTTTTTATTTAGAATATCCATAAAAGAAGAAAATATGTATTATCTTACGATTGAAGGGTTAAGAGAATAAAGAACAACTGACATTTTTGGTTTTGAGAAAACTTCAAATCATTTTTATTTATTATAAAGCAGAAGTATATCCTAAATGAGCACCACTTTAATGGACCAAATATTGAATTTTTTTAAATGAGGAGAGGAAATATGGAAAATGTATCAGTTTATGCCTTTCTCTTTAACAATATTTCAATTTTCCTATAGTGTCACTTACCACCTTTATTAACTTCATACTTTAGGTATACAAAAATAAACAAACTTGTATCCATTTATACCCCTACTCATTAACCTGTATATTCATATTGTGCAGAGATCTAAAGCAAAGGAAAAATTAGTGCAGAAGTGAAAGTTTGTAAATATCAATATCGAATTTCCTTTTTTTCTTATCTATATATTATATATATATATATATATATATATATATATATATATATTATTTCTATCTAGAGAAATGTCTAGAAACTTCTCTCATACCCTCATTTAAGAACTTCTAGTATATATAGTGATAATATAATAATTTAATGTTTAATAGTCATAATATGCATGAAACTAATCCAATTTCTTGATATATTAATTATTCTACTATGAAAATATATTTTTTCATGAATTTGTACATTTTTCAGTTCAATGGAGAGAGGAGTAAGACCACGTGCCAATGAGAAGCACCTGAGAGGTGCTCATCAAGAAGAAACGTGGGATCCAACACCTGAGGAACATTTATCAGAAGAACACACTGAAGATGTTGGACAACATCCTGTCACCCATGAAGAAATAGGTGGTTACAACTGGCAAGCATCGAAATCCTCATTAAAAGAGAGATTTTCTTATCTTTTTAACAATGAAATCTTGAGCGATGTTCATTTCCTTGTGGGCAAGGATCCTGGTGTACAGCGTATTCCAGCTCATAAACTGATTCTTACAGCTGGAAGTGCTGTATTTGATGCCATGTTCAACGGAACATTAGCCACTCGTGCACCAGAGGTGGAGTTACCTGATGTTGAACCAACTGCTTTTTTAGCTCTTCTCAGGTATTTACTTATATTTTTATTTATAGTTTTAGTTTATTCCTTTACTTATATAAATATATTAATAGACAAAATTATACACTTTAGGTTTCTCTATTCAGATGAAGTACAGATTGGACCTGAGTCTGTCATGACTACCTTATATACAGCTAAAAAATATGCAGTTCCTGCTCTTGAGCGTCATTGCGTCGAGTTTTTGAAGGTTTGATTTACATTTCAGTATTTATGTGTGATTTGCATTATTATTGTTAATTTTCTATTGTATTAACTTCGTGTAGTCCAACCTGAGTGCTGACAATGCCTTCATGCTGCTGACTCAAGCTCGCCTTTTTGATGAACCTCAATTGGCTTCGCTTTGTCTTGACACAATTGATAAGACTACTTCAGAGGCACTTTCGGCTGATGGTTTTACTGATGTCGACCTAGAAACTTTGTGTGCTGTATTGGAAAGAGACACTCTGCACATCAGGGAAACAACTTTGTTTCAAGCTGTTATGAGGTCATTATTCATGTATAACATCTAAGCATATTTAATGTCTTTATTATATGTCCGAATTCAACTATGGAGAATACTCATTACCTATAAATAACCTCTTAATAATCTAATCTAGTACTAAAAAATGATAATCTTTTAAAACAATACAACTTTAAAAAATTCAAAACTCTTTTAATACACAAAAAATACATAGTTAGTGTCTATTAATAAAATAAAGAGGTTAATTAAGCAACAATTAGGCGCTACGTCAAATGTGCTCATTTCGTATAATTTATGCTGTCTTATGTTTACAGTAGACATTTTTCTAGTCCGTTATTCTGGAGTTTCAGGCTATAAAGCCTGTTAGTTTGATCAAAAGAAAGTGGCTGTGGAGAAATGAGAGCTATCAATATTTTTGTTTACATGAATATAGAAATTGTTTAAAATAAAAAATTTCTATGAATATTCAAATTTGTGATTTTAAAAACAGTTGGTTATTTGCATAAATAATAAATTACTTTATTAGGAGCGTACTAAATCCAGTCTCTAGATTTTTTTTTTTTTTCTTTGCTGCTCATGTAGTTAGTCACTCTTATATTTCTCTTTGTTATATAAAAAAGTTTTTTGTGGCCGATATTTTATTTATTACATTTGTATCTTACATACACTTCACACTTCTTATTTCCAGAATTATTTCTCTCTTATTATGGTTACAAATTGGCAATAAGAATAATTATAATTATATAATAATATAAATTGGCAATAAGGCTAGGTGTACAATATAGATTTTTAAAGAAATTAAAAATGTGTCTGAACTATGTCTCAAGGGGTGTCAAGATAAAATAATCACTTTGACTCAGTACACCGTGAGAACTAAGAATTTATTATTACAAAAACAAACATTTAAATTGCACACTGTATACAATATTTACAATAAAAGCAGACTAACACAATTTACACTATTTACAAACAAATATTCTGTCTATCATCCATGCTGCATCAACACTGTTACCTCCTCACAGTCTTTCCACCTAAGTAGTTTTACCTCTACAGTATTGCCATAATAGAAGATTCATTATCAGGCACTCCTCCACACTGTGGTTTCATTCCGTTTTATTTTATGTTGATAAAAAATAGTACAATCTGAACTACAGAATAGATGTAAATTACAGTTATACAATTTGAGTAACGAGTACTACAATTAAATGAATAGTTGTACAATTAGTAAAATGGGGGTTAGTCGTTTGCCACTTAGTTTTTAAAATTTAAAGTATTAGAATGTTATTTATAGATTTGACTTGCTTAATATCCATGAAAACCAGTAGTGGTTTGTTAGCATTGTATGAATTTAAGAAACATTGTATGGATTGACATTAAATTAAGTAGAAAATAAGAACTAAAAGAAATAGAAGCAACAACAGTACCACAAAACAAAATTTTGTTATGAAATATTTTTGAAAAAAAAAAACATTTTTTTTTTTCGTTTATAAATGCTAACCACAAACTTTCTTTAGCACATCTTCCTATTAATATTGTTTACAGTGCACTAAAAATAAAATGTAGTGACAAACTTTCAAGCTTATTGAATTCAATTTAAAAGATAACATTTTCTTGTGAAGCCGCCAATAAAGTTATGAAACTGAAGTGCTGTTGAAATGAAATGCCACCAATTTTAGTATTAATGTGGGCTGTTATATTTTAATGAGTTTGACGTTTCGAAGACAGGTGGTGCGAGAACCGGTGCAGCCGCGAGCAGGTGGCCGCCGTGCCTGAGAACATGCGTTCTCTCCTGGGAAAGGGGCTGTCGCTCATCAGGTTTCCCCTGATGACTGTCGAAGAATTCGCTCAAGGCCCCGCTCAATCAGGACTCCTCACAGACCGGGAGCTTGTTTCGCTCTTCCTTTATTTCACTGTCAACCCGAAACCCCCCATCCCCTTCAGGTAATTACAACAAATTAATCTCTTGTTGACTTAATCATATCTTTACCCTATTGTTAGATTCTTACTAATTACTTTATTGAAAACAACTTCAATATAATGTAATCATTATAAATATAACCCATCATGATCAAATTTTTAACTGACAGACACTCTTGCGATTTTATTGATAGGGCTTAAGGTATACAAATGTTAAGAGGACATAGTTTGTTTTTTTTATGAAACTTAAATCTTTTTGTTCATTATCACATACTCCATTATTTCTTTTTTATTTATAATGATTCACTAATTTGTGAATAAATTCAATAGCAAATAATTAATAATGTTATAAAACATTTTATTAATTGTTATTTCATTTCAGGGATACCCCACGCTGCTCACTCACTGGTAAAGAACAGGCCGTGCACAGGTTTCAACAGGTTGAAAGCAGATGGGGGTATAGTGGTGCCAGTGACCGCATAAAGTAAGTGGTTGTTTGACTAATTGCCATGTATTGTAATGACAATTTTAAATGTATGTTTTGTGTATCATTACAGATTTTCTGTGGATAAGCGCATCTTCATTGTTGGATTTGGGCTGTACGGCTCCATACATGGTGCTCGAGAATATGATGCTAAAATTCAAGTACTCCTTCCACCATCTGGTAAGATATGTGGCTCTAACTCTGCCAGATTAACTTGTGACGGTGCTGATTATACCTTCAGGGTTATGTTTAAAGAACCAATTGAGATAAGAGCGCATACCAATTACCTTGCATCAGCCACCATAAAGGTATCATTATTCTCTTATTTACATAATGTATTTAGCTATTTTTATCATTTAATTAATGAGTAATTGAGTATATTTACGGTCTTATAAAAAAAAAAAGTTATTTTATGTTGAAACAATAGTTTTCAGCATAGAAAGTCGCTGATATTGAAATAAAATGATGAGTTGTAACCATTGAAATATGAGTTAAACCATCGCCGATAAAACAAAGAAAATAGGAGAGTAAATGAGCGTTCTCGGAATTCACTTCTGAGGCAAAACATTGTTGATGGGGTGGAATCATTCATCTAATTGGGATGTGCATCACTAAAAGGGGGCTTGGTGAAAGATGTTGAAAACCGAATCAAAAAAGCTAGTAGGGCATTTGTTCAATATAGAATTAAATTTAATATGGAAGAACAAGAGATTGTCAAATTAAACAGAAATAAGATTGTTTAACTCCAACATAAAATCAGTCCTGCTCCAGTGCAGTGAAACTTGGAAGGTGACTGAACCGGTTAACCGACCCCTTCAAAAACTGCTGCTTGTGAGGTACCCTCGAGATCTGGTGGCCTGAGAGGATCTCTAACGAAGAGCCTTGTTGACCTTAATTAAGAATATATCATGCTGTTGTTTTATTGCAATAAGTCTAAGTACATTTTTGATGGGACTAGTGTTTTAGGTAAGTTTTATAAATTAATAAGACTTTTTTAATTGGTCCTAAAACACATCACAAAGTCCATCGAAATGAGTAAAACATTTTATTTTTCCAAAATACTTAAACTGAGAGAAAATTCATCAGACTTTTTGACTTTTCATCAAACTGACTTTTGACTTTTCATCAAACTGACATTATGATGTCTTCTTTCTTGATTTATAAAAGTGGTAGGACCATAAAATGTTCATCACAAAATAAGTATAACCAATAGAAATTAATAAAAAAAAAAAATGATCAATAGAATGTTAATTCCTAAATAAAGTAAGCCATAGTCAGACAGAAAGAAAACCATGACATCGAATAAGTGGAAACAGTTCATGAAGACTTCGCATTATATATTAGGAGGACTGGAAAGTAATGTCGTTTCTGAGTATTTCACTATTTAATTGCCATTTGTCGCTAATTGTGTTCATCTGTGTTGTGGCAAAGACATTCTATGGTTACAGTGATGTCTTAAGTTGCAAATGATAAAATTAAAATTCTTTTTTTTACAATTTTTAGTGAAGTGACCAGCCAAATACCAGAAGAGGTACATATGCGGCATTGCATGCTTTTTGAGTTTCACAAGGGTTGTACCCCTTGTAACAGTTGCTACCAAAAACATTTAGACTGTTCATCCAAATACACTAAACATTCATAAATGCCAAAGGTGGTTTTCAAGTTTTAATCTGGTAATTTTGATCTTTCCGACACGCATCGATCAGGAAGACAAACAGCATTGGACAATGATGTGTTAAGGACGGAAGTTGTAAGTGGCCAGCAAATATCAATAGAAAAGGCGTTACTCTACAACACGAAAATGCAAGATCGCATTCTTTAAGAAAGACCCTGCAAAAAATTACTGAATTGGGATAGGAAGTACTGCCTTACCCACCATACTCGTCCAATGCCGTACCATCGGATTGACATTTGTTCGGATCGTTTTAACAGTTTCTAAGTAGAAAAAGATTTGAAAATTTGAATGATGTCCAAAATGCCATTTCTATATATTTTGCTCAAAAACCAATAGATTTTTATTGATTCTGCATTGAAAATTTGCACACCAGATGGCAAAAAGTTGTTGATAATGAGAATGATTCCATCAATAATTAAAAAAAAAAAACTGAAATTATGAGTTTGAATTTAATGTAAGTAAAGGACATTACTTTCTGGTCCTCCTAATACTATTACCTTACTTTTGTCAAACAAATTCATTAAAATTAAACAGTGGAATAACCAAGTTTATAGAAGGAAAAAAAATGTCCAGATGCACAAAAATGAAGTGAGGTAGTACAAGAATACTTGTTATTGGATGATACATTTTTCCCAGACTATAAAGATACACTAAACCTTTTATTCTTTCTCTAAGTTCAAGATTTTCTGTAATCACCGTGATTACTAACCATATTAGTTCTGTTATTTAGTAGATCAGTTTATATCTGCCAGCCAATGTCAATTGATTGTTTTTTTTCTCTTTCCTTTCCGACCATTTGAATTTTCTTATATTCTTAATTCTATGCCTATTTTAGCTTTCTTCCTTTATTTGATTCGTTTTTTTTTTTTTTTTTTTTTTTTCAGCATAAAGAAGTATATTAAACTGCTTTCTTATTTCATTTTTATCATTTATAAAATATAATTTGTGTATTTGTATAATTTTTTTAATATTGTATTATTAAGATGTTAATTTTGATGTATTTCTAGGGTCCTGATTCACATTATGGAACCCAAGGTTTAAAGACCGTGACGGTTGATACAAAATCAGGACCTGTCACTTTCCAGTTCATGTATGCAGCAGGTAACAACAATGGAACCAATGTTGAAGATGGGCAGATCCCAGAGATCCTGTTTTATACTTAATTTGTTAGCCATATACACGTGTTGTTCTGGTTTTGAAAACCAGTAGATCCCAGAATGTCCCTCTGGATTCATGCCTCCCTTCCAATGTATTAACCTGTGCAATTATATCAAACAGGCCCTCTCTTCCAAACTGTTCTCTTATCTAATAATATATATCTTTATGTAGTAGTCAATAATTCATGAATGTTACCAAAGAATAAGAGTCTCGGAGATGTTTAAAAGCTTGGGCTGTGATGTTGAAAGTGTGATTGCCGCGATCTACCTAAACAAGTCATACTCCACTGTTTAAAAAGTGAGTGAGTTGGTGTATTATAGGATAAGTATTTTCATATATTTATTTACGTACTTAATTATTCTAAATGTGACGGTTGTACCAGTACTACAATACTGGAATTTATTTTGTTTTCCAGTCATAGAGACAATTGTTGATATAGAATATCTAATTAAGTTTATATTATGGATTATGAATTTACTAAAGCAAGATAATGTGTAATCAATATTGTTTATTCATCAATTTTTAAACAGGCAACCTATTTCAGTATCTCATTTTATCATTAAATATTTAAATTTTTTATTGATGTTCCTTAATTACTAAATCCCTTCTCTTTTACTTCTTTATATTATTTTTTACTTTCCTACCTATACTAGGTAAGAAGGTAAGTATTGCGATCGGGTCAAATTTACGATGCATGGTTTTCTACGGATCTATATGTTTCACAGCTCTCTAAGGACGAAAAACACATTTTCAGCCATTAGTCTGTTTGTCTGTGCCAAGATTATCTCGAGAAATAGCGGACCAATTTTGTTGCTGCTTTTTATATTTTGTAGGATTTTGACTGCTGATGCCTGTGACACAAATTGGATGTTCCCTACGCAATAAGTGAAAAACATTTTTTATTTGCTGCAGCGCAAAAACGGCTCTAACGATTTTGATGATACTTTTCTATAATTTTCTAATTACTGTCCTTTCAATTTTTGTACATTTACTAAATTTCCGAGATAATTCAGGGAAAAAAGTTATAAAGAAAAGAAAAATGTTTTGTGGTTAACTCGCTAAGTATATGTTCTGTGGTAAAATGTATATGAATATTTTTGAAAGATAATTAAATTATCTACAAAACAAAAACAAAAAAAATCATCGGAATCGAAGCATAAGTACAGCTGTACTAGGTAAAGAAAGTATTACGATCGGGTCAACTATAGCTAACTATATGTTCTATGGTAAAATGTATATGAATATTTTTGAAAGATAATTAAATTATCTACAAAACAAAAACAAAAAAAATCATCGGAATCGAAGCATAAGTACAGCTGTACTAGGTAAAGAAAGTATTACGATCGGGTCAACTATAGCTAGGTATATGTTCTATGGTAAAATGTATATGAATATTTTTGAAAGATAATTAAATTATCTACAAAACAAAAACAAAAACAATCATCGGAATCGAAGCATAAGTACAGCTGTACTAGGTAAAGAAAGTATTACGATCGGGTCAACTTTCCTATGTGTGGTTTTCGACAGATACGATTCACTGCCCCTGCATGTTTTTTTGAAAGATCGTGAAATTTCCTGCAAAACTATAAAAATCGTTCATTTCTGACAACTATTAACGAAGTTACTACAGCTATTCAATTTCGTATGTAAGATTATGAGCTCAAATTTCGGTGCCAGAAAGGGGTGGGTGAAAGAGAGAGAGAAAAAAAAAAGAAAAAGTAAAAAAATCTGGTGCCCCATTACACAAGTCTCACTATTTCATCTGGTTTAACAGAAATTATTGTCAGGCAAAATCGGGCTATGGCAAAAAGTTTTTGATTAGCAATATTAGAGTGTTTTGAATTTTTTATGCTGATCTTCCACAAGCCAGTTTACTTAGTTTATCAAAGAAACCGTACTCAAATCTTTTCTTTGATCAACTTTCAGGAAAATAAATCTAATTCATTTTTTTTTCTTTCTTTTCTTAATGGACATATTTAAAGGTAAAAATAAAAACCTTTCTAAAATAGGTAGGAAAATCGTGTGAGTGTATACACGAGATTTTTCTCTTAGTTATTGAACAACATAATATTTTATTATTTTTCTTTTTTTCCTGGGAAGTTGTCAATTTAATTTAGTTGCTTGGCAATAATAACTTCCAGTTATTAACAATTCGAGTATATTTTTAACGTTACATGTTAACAGGCTAGTTTACGTTTCGGGACCTTTATTCCCATCTTCAGAACTGCAATTCCAATACTCTTGTGGATGCAAGGCTAAAAATTTTTTAAGTTACAATATTGTGCTTGTTACATTACATATTTGTATTATGTTTGTTACAATAAATTTGTAATTACCTTAATTTTAATAATAATAATAATGTGCTCCATCGTCAATTTTCTAATTTATGTTCTAAAATTTATCATCTAGAGCAACATCCTCCTTTTGACCAATAATTGGGTTTCTGCCATAGTGAAAATTGACCTTTGGATCTAAATGTTTTATCTGACTATTTTGATTGTTGTTGTTAGTGTTTATTTTATGTGTCTGTGATTTAACTTCTATTAAATTTTAATTTTGTTCAATATGTGTATAATGGGTTCCTAAATGTTTAGTGTCTGTTTTGTAGTTGACTGTTGTTCTGTTGTTTTTTGTAATGTGTATTGCTTCAAGTAATTTTCTATTGATGTTTTTTGGTTCTGTGCCTATTATCTGTGGTTTGTTAAAGTTAAATTTATGCTGTAGTTTTATACTGTGATGTGCTAAGGCTGTTGTGTTTATGTTTTTTGGATTTTTACAGTTTGTGACGTGTTGTGAGATTCTAGTTCCTAATTGTTTGGATGTTTCACCAATGTAGATTTTGGGGCAGTTTTGACAGTTTAATTTATATTGCGGACGATATTCTTATCAGCGCTCGTACATTGTCGGCCCTTGCGGGATCTATCGCAGAATTTGATGTGACAGCAATACAACTTGGTCTGAGGATAAATGAAGGTAAAAAAAAGTCTTTATATGAAGTCCTCAAGGAATAATGTAGCTATGCATGAATATGTTCGAATTAATCAGCACTTTTTTACAATGGGAACAGAATTCAAATACTCAGAGTGATAGTGACTAACCAGAACGAAATAAAGGCCAGAATTACAGCTGGCAATAAGTGTTTTTTACCCTAGCAAAAATACTATAATCCAAGGAACTGACCTGGAATACAAAAGTAATAATTTATAAAACCATTATAAGGTCAGTCGTTACCTACGTGTGTGGAACATGGGTTTTGATACAGGAAAGTGAAATTGCTGATAATCTGGGAGAGAAAAGTCCGGAGAAAATAAATGACCACTGGTGAATACAAAAAAATGACGAGCTCTATGAGCAGGATGTAGAGAGAATGGAGGAGAATAGGATGCCTAGAAAACTTCTCTATAACAGCCCAGGAGGAGCACATCTTACGGGAAGACCTAAATAAGATAAGGAAGCCTGGCGGAAGCTTGTTTCTGACGCCCAGGTCCATTAAGGACTGTAGAACAAATTAATGATACTAAAGTGTGAGAATGAAAAAATGTACTAAGAAGCTCAAATACAGACTAAATCTTTGCTATTAAAAATGTAAGATTTATGTGATTATATACAAGTAATGCATAGCAAAAAATTATTGAGCACGGCTTACAAATAACATGGCCAATTGTGACGAAATCAGTTGCATGTCGCCGATTGGTTGATTTTAAGTACTCAGATGATAAATCATTGTTTCAAGTGGGAATCTTAATGAATAGGGGAGGTTCTGATAAAACTTTATTTGACTTAAGTTTCCTAATTAAAACAAAAACCTTGGAAGGGAATTAACATATTAGCTTCCTATCACATGAATTGTTTTGCTTTATTACCTAGAATGTCCACTACGAACTATCTTGTTTGTTTACTTTCCATATTTTCTATAAGATAATACAATTAGTTAAAATTGTATTTTTACACCAATCCTGAAAAGTATCATAGCAGTGAACATGGTGGCAGCCTCTCCTTTTGGAGTGTAATCTGTCAGGGCTAGGAGTATGGAGCTACTAATATTATATGTATAACCCAATAAATAAGTACTGTATGATTTTTTTTTCTTTGAAAACTTAATAACTTTTTTTGTAAATTTAGGTGCCCTTCTCTAATACTAAGATTTTATTCTTGCCAGAAAATTTTATTTTATTTCAGAAGTTCAAGTCCCTGAAAAGTAAAAAGCTCGATAATAATGAAACTGGAAAAAAATAGATAACTTTTTAATTAATTTTATTCACCCAATATATTCTTTACAAAGATAGGACAGTTTATTTTTTAAATTTAAATGTTATATAATCCGTTTATATATAAAGTTTAAAGTCTTTTATTCTTTCATTATTAAAAAAAAATATTTATAATATTCTAAAAAAAATTAACTATTTAACTGACTTCTCCTTTGCACTGAAGAATCACAAGTTGTTTCGAAAATGGGAGGGGATTGCTTGATTGAAAGGATATGCTTTACCTGTATACGTTCATAAAATATATACCTATTTTTTTGGATGACATAGATTAATGCACCTGTAATAAAGTTACAATTAGTATGATATGATTTAAAGGACTCAAGTTTTATCCAATCTACGTCTAAATCCAGTCTCAAATTAGATACTGAATAAATTTAATTTTTATTATTAAAAATCTTGAATTATTCATAGTTTTACCTTTGATAAACCAGATTGCAATATAAAACCAGACTTGTTTTGGGATTCCTCCTAGCAAAATAATACCTAATAAATAACTGAGAATCACTTTAAGTTCAAATTTCTGTGGATCATCAAAACTATTGACATGACCGGCTATCCAATGTTGAAGTGTGACAAATATCACCAAACCTGTTGGAATTCATTTCTGTTTAGAAAAGAGTTTGGTATATAGTAATATTAGGTGAACTTTCTGACAATAGTAAATTAATTTTCAGAATATAATTAACTCTAAAAAAAAAGTGCTTCGATTAGTTTTTCCTAGGAGCCTTTTTATGAAA